TTTGGGTCGTCAGACCAAACAAATAATGGTAGCGAAATTTCAGACTCTAATGCTGTTAATTGCAGGTGCCGAAAGTAGTCCGCTTTTTTGAAGCGGTTACTTCCCTTTATATGTAACACTAAGGCCGGAAAATTTAGGGGAGATCACTGCGTAAATATGGTCACATGACAGGCGGATTAATTTTCAAGCAAAATAATTCCCGAATGGTCGAAGATTTCTAATATTGTTTTATTCTTTAATTATAGATATACATGCTTATAGTAAGCGCCATGATTATTTACACAAGTGTTAAACAACAGTTAGCGTCGTTCATACCCTAACTAGAATAATATGGTTTTCTTCAGGCCATCTACATGTAAATCCACTGTGGCCGAGGGGTTTACGCGCTCGCTTAGGAAGCGAGAGGTCTGGGGTTCAAATCCCAGTTAAGGCAACTCATTTTTTTTTTCAAATTGTTTAAGTCAAATAAACATTGGATCGAATATCAGTGTTGCAATTAGTCTTATAGCCAATCTACTACAATTAAAACGCTAGAAAGCATTGGTGGCACTATACAAAAACAAATTGTTTTATAATCTCACAACCTTCACCTGACATTCTGAGACCCAAACAAATTCAGCGCCTTCTATGCTTTTATTTAATTTATGTGTTGTATTGTTTCTTGGTTGAATCTCGCCATGAGTGTAAAATGATATTGATTGCATCTGTAGGTACTCCCTGTTTTTTTAGGGATTGCCTGATAACCTGAAAAGACCTAGTCTCATCTTTTTAAGCGATGAAGTTTGTTTGGTTTGTGTGGTAGGTAAAGAATGTTTTGAGGTTGTGGCAGAAGGTAACAATTTCCGCTGATGTTTTCAGTTCCTACTACATATGCTGCACTTATAAATATATTTTTATCCATGCACCACATCCAAATTTCTCGGGCCAGATTATCTAATTCATCAGTTTTACCGCCAAATTTATTAACATAAGCACAGCTTGTGCTATTGTCCATGTAAATTCTGATATGACACTGAGTAGTGTCTTTACATAATGAAGTTAGCGCTAACTGACATGCTTTCAATTCTAAAATATTGATATGCAAGTTTTGTTCTGCCAAAGACCACTGACCATTTGTTGTAGCATTTGTGGTTTTATTTATAGCCCCATATCCTTTTTTCTAGGCATCAGAATAAGTTACAAATTTAGGCTGTCAATGAGACACAAGCTTTTTGCTTGTTCAAAATTTCTTATCCACCAATTTATTGTTGGTTTGACTGTTTCTGGAAGTTTCATGAAGTTATTAAAATTATCTTTGGCCCTTTTAATACATTTGTCTTTGACCTTTTCTAGAGGCTTATAGAATAAAGGGGCAGTTTCAACGCCTGGTTCAGCCGCTACCATTTTTCCTCTAAGTTTAGCAAAAAGGCGATTGTTAAAAACCTTTTGGAAAGAACAGAACAACAAAGACTAATCAACTCTTCTTGTCTTTCTGGGGTTAACCTTACAGACATAATATAAATCCTAGAAACGTTATTTGTTTACATGCATGTAGAATAGAATCATCTATGTACGTTATTTGTTTACATGCATGTAGAATAGAATCATCTATGTACGCTAAACTAATATGACCTTTCCCTCTGAGAGAAGCAAATACAGGTTTCATCACTTTTAGTAAAAACCCTTGGGGATGTGGTTAAACCCATAACTAAAGCCGTAAATTGATATTCTTGACCATTATAAATAAACCTGAAGTACTTTCTGTCTTGCATTCGAATAGGGATGGAGTAAAATGCTTCAGACAGATCTACAGATGCGAAAAAACAATTTTTTCGCATGGAGTTGATTGCATGTTGTAATGTTTCCATTTTAAAGTGAATATTTTCCATAAAGCTATCGTTAAATTGTTTAAGATTAAGAATAATTCTAATTTTACCATCTTTTTTCGGTCTAATAAAAATATTTGAAATAAATTCATCTCTTTGTGTTATATTATCTACTTTTTCAATAATGTTGCAATTAAGAAATCTGTTAAATTCAGACTCAATTAAATTTTGCTCCGACACATTAAATGATAATGCTTTTGGAATTGTATGTTGAAAGGGTGTTTCGGCCAATTCTACGTGATAGCCTGTTATAGTTTGAAGTATCCACTTATCATTTGAAAGTGATTTTCAGTTTAAATAATAATTTTGTGTTTTTCCTGCTACAAAATTGTCAGTTGTATTTGTCAGTTTTGATATGTTGCTATTAACATTTATTTTTTGTGATGCCTCGTTGTCTGTTTTGCTTTCTTTTGTTGGAAGGCCTGCCCATATGGTCTTGGTTGATGTTGATTTCAATTGTGCATCTGAGGTTTTTTGTAATAGGTCCCTTGATAATTTTGGTTGTGTTTAGGGACTTGTTGTTTGCCTTAAAAAAGAACTCTTCTGAGCGCTGTAAGACATGATATGTGGTGCCTTTTCACCTACAACTTTCAGGTCCTCCTTCAGTGTGTCGCCAAATAAAAGAGTTGCAGATGTTTTTGACTTAGCACATGTGGCTTTGTATGCTGGTTGAATATCCTTCAATAGTTTGTCTTTTCTGGCTTTGTTTTTGGAAGAAATAGTATAAACCATCATCTTGAAGATGTCCCCGACCAAGTCTTTTACCTGATTCCTGTATAGTTTCAGCTTCTTGGATAATGTCCAGTGCTCTGATCATTGTAACCAGGCAGGCTGACATATTGCTCACTGCTCTTTGCATTTTGGCATCAACTGCTTTGGTCAAAGTTGGGAGGTCCCTCCATATAAAAGGCTCTATCCTAGGTGTCTGCACTTGATCTGTATTGACTGGTCTTCGATGTTTTTCCTTGAGGTCTTTCAACCTCTTTTCATCAAATTCTGCTCTCATTGATTTGTTTACAATTTTACTTAACCTTTCCGACACTGGGACACCCGTTACTTCTTTTTCTTCAAATAAATCTTCTAATTCTTGAAGGAATTCAGAATCTTTAGTGTCTTTTTGTTTCTGTGATGACAAGAAATTGTCTAAATTTTCATTATCAGTGTCATCTTCACCTGAACTGATGTAAGTGTGGGATGACTTACTTCTCTTGTTTGCTCTTTGGCAGCTTGTCTCTTCCACTGGCCTTTTTGATTTTAAATATGTTTGCATAGAATCAGATTCTTCATCGTTTTCAGTGGATATATTAATTTCTGGATGGCCAGAACGTGTGCCCTGTCCCTCTTTATTTTGTAACTTTATAGTCTCCATGTTGAACTTTAATTGTTCTACGGTGTTTACAACACTGTTTATTTTCTTGCTCTGGGCAGATAATTCTGCCATAGTTTTTTGAAAGTTTTGTAGGATTTGCTCCCCTTTTTCTACAAAGTCTACCACTTTTGCATTTCCCTGCTTTGGGAGTACACAAATGAAAAGTCACAGAAATAAGTTTCTGTTTCATGTGGTATACATGTGCGTTATGCTGTGTGTAGCACAAAGGCCGCCCATAAAAGTTCCGTTAAGGAAAGCGCAAACATACTTTGCATCCTTTGTCTATGTGATATAAATAATGGCACCTGAAATTAGGTGAACCATTTTCCGAGAATATCGGTGACGATTTTTCTTGCATTAATATATAATTTTCCTGAAAATGAAGTACAAAATTTTAAAACAAACTTTTCTTACCAAATTAATCTGAATATATATCATCCTATTATCTAAATATACACTAAGATCTTAACTTTTTATGTCTGACTTATTAATATAAGACTTCACAGTGTTAATGATAAATCTGGACTGATCTGAGTGTTGCCGATAAGCCAGCTTTCTCTCTGTGTGAGGCCCCAAAAGGGATATGCGGTTGATAAAATCAAGTATTTATAAATATGATTGCCTACAGACTGCGTATATGTTGGTGTTAAAAATTGAGTTCACCTACCGAAACATGAAAGTTTCGTTTCGAAACACATACATCTTAAAGTGTTCCATTTTTCATAATTAATAACCCTTCAAGAATTTATCATGTCATTGTTATGAAAGCTATGCTGACTTTTCTTTATGACTTTGCATGGAAACCTAAGAACTAACATTTGCAAGTTAATCAGTTTTACTTTGGCCGAGTATCTTTTTAAAAGAATGCTACAGACGAAGTTTGGTGATTATGCATCAATAACTTCAGTACATTATTTTTAAAGGTTTTTTTCTATTTTTAGCTCTGGTAACCAAAACTATCTGAGCAATTTTGTTAAGGATTGCCAAATTAATATGAGCAAATTTGATAAAAGATTACCTAACAATGCTACAGACAAAGTTTAGTGATTATGCATCAATTAGTTCAGTAGAAGATGATGTTTAAAGGCTTTTTTATTTTTAGCTTTTGCGGCCCCTTAAAGGGACCAATCAAATTAATGAGCAAATTTGATAAAAGGTAACTAAGAATGCTACAGACAAAGTTTAGTGACCATCCAATAATTAGTTCAGGAGAAGAATTTTAAAGGTTTTTCTATTTTTAGCTTTTGCGGCCCCTAAAAGGGTCCAATCAGTAAATATCATGTAAGGACAACCTGAGGTTTTATCATAGTTGAAATGGCAACCAAAGACCAGATGTCATTTAAAGTTTATTTCTATTTTTAGCTCTGGTAACCAAAACTATCAAGGATTGCCAAATTATCATTACTGCACAGTTTCCTTAAAATCTACCAAGTATTTGAGGAGTTATTGTTTATTTCTATTTCTGGTGGCAATGTTGTTCAGTGGACAGGAATCATTTAGCATTATTGTAATAAAGTTAGGACTACATAAGGACCATTCCTGTATCACTTAAGGGGTTCAGGAAGAGATGATGATTAAGCAAAACCGCTAAGAGAGAATAAGCACATGGTGATCACAACAGGTAACCTTGAAAATTCAATGAAAATTATTTTCTTTCAACAAGTTCAGTTACAAAATTAGTATCCTTTGGTGAACACAGCTCTTTTTATGAGCTACAATGTTAAAAAATGAAAAAAAAAGCACAATTTTTAAAAAAATGTACTTACTTTTCACCAAATGCAGCACTAGCACCAACAAATACCTATAAATGTAACAAGATTGCATTTCAAAAATAATGCTATGCAAGTGCATTTATATTACACTAAATATTAGAAACAGAAAATTTTGTTTTTGCTTCAATACAATTGAACTTTTCCAAAATGCAGTTGTTTCTAGTAGATTTGAGGATCCACATTCAAATTAAAGACAATCTGTACATCAAAAGGACAAGAAAGAAGGTCACTTTGTCAAAATCTAGGTCAGCTGATACTAAAGTTTAAATTAAAGAAGTTTTCAACATTTATTTTGAAATGGTAAAATTTGGAACTTGGAAACATCCGCAGATGTGTTTCATACGGCGGTTATCACTGGAACCTTCAATGTGACACAAAATATTTAGGCAAAATAATGACACAAATGTTAACATGATCTTATGTACTCAAATCACGCTAAAATGACATTTCTTGAAGTTTCAGCATGAATTTCTGTTTAAATTCTATATATTTTGGGTTTGAAGCGTAAATATATCTGTATATGTTGAACAAAATTTAGACGCCAATAGAATCCCCAAATAGTTTTAAAACAAGTCAGGTGACTTGAACAAACCCTTGAAGTTATAATAACAGATATTTTTGATATTGTATGATTGAAACAAGTCTAAGTCATTCATTTGACATGTTCTTAACGTTTTCAGAGTTCACTTTGACAACTATTGTGAAATCTAGCGCTCTAACCTGACCCACGCGCCAGGTCAAGTTAGGAAACGACCATTTTATTCTTAATATGGAGAAAAGTTTTGTTCCTTTGACTGTCTTATATATTCATTTTGAGGGCTTTTACAGAATAATGAATGAAAAATTCAAAACTAAGAAATGAAAATTTTGCCTGTGTCTCCCTTTAATGCCATTCCGCGAAAAGGGGTGTATGATCCCTAAAAGAATCAATGTGTCCTAAACAAGAAACTAGAAATGTGTCATCATGCCACGGATGCCCCCGCATGCAGCCAAAATTTCAGATGGTGCATTAATTATTTTTTTCATTTTAAGTTCAAAGCCCTTAAAACTTTTCAATGTTAACACAAACCATTTTCATACAATGTTCAAGGCACTGAAATTATTCAGTCTTAACCTTTTAAAAATAGCATATTGCATATTTGCAGCCAAAATAATGGCTAAAAGTATGAGTGCTGAAACTGAAAGTTCAAAATTTTTCCAACATTCAGGAAAGATAAGTTTGTCTAAAATCATTGAACCACGACCAAATTCAAACTTAAACTGCTTATTCCTAAGATGTATCTATATTATTTTCAAAGTGGGAGGGACATAACTCTGCCAAAAAATCATCAAACCATGACCAAATTCCAACTTGACCTGCCCATTCCTTTGACATATCCATATGTCAAATTTAAGTTGAATATGTAACACTGTTGGGTAGATAATGAACAGAAACTGTAAATTTCATATTATTTTCAAAGTGAAAGGGGCATTACTCTGCCAAAAATCATTGAACCATGACCAAATTCGAACTTGGCCTGGGCATTCCAAAAACATATCCATATGTCAAATTTGAGTTGAATGTGTTGTACCATTGGGGAGATAATAAACGGAAACTGAAAATTTCATATTATTTTCAAAGTAAAAGGGGCATAACTCTGCCAAAAATCATTGAACCATGACCAAATTTGAACTTGACCTGCGCATTCCTTTGACACATCCATATGTCCAGTTTGAGTTGAATGTGTGGTACCTTTGGGGAGATAATGAACGGAAACTGAAAATTTCATATTATTTTCAAAGTAAAAGGGGCATAACTCTGCCAAAAATCATCGAACCATGACCAAATTCGAACTTGACCTGTATTTTCTCATGACATATCCATATGTCAAGTTCGAGTTGAATGTGTGCAACCGTTCTTAAGATAATGAACGGAAACTGATGATGACGGAATGACAGAATGACGGAAGGATGGAAGGACGGAATGACGGAACAGGGTAACACTATATGCCCCGGCCATTACATGGCGGGGGCATAAAAAAGGGGGGAACTCAACAAAATGGAATTTTGAAAGGTGATCAGAAGTTATGAAGCCTGCATATCACAGATAAGATGTCAAAGACAAGGTTAACAAGATTGCATTTGTGAAAAATGCTATGCCACCGCATTAAAACAACATTAAATAGAAGTGTTACTAAGGAACAGATTTTTTTTGTTTCTATACAATTGAAGATTGTCTTAATGCATAAATCCCTGACCTATCTAATTCTTATTATCAGATTAGTGGTGAAATCTATTGTTATTTAAATAAAGGATCAGAGTAGGAATATATCATAATCAATGCAGTTGATTCTAGTGAATTTGGTGGTGAAGGTCATATTTCACACAGCCTAAATTTCATGACTGTACATCAAAGGACAGCACAGTCAGACACTTTGTCAAAATCTAGGTCAGCTGATATCAAAGTTCACTTTACATCTTAATCTGTGCACATGGTTCAAATTTCATAGCTGTACATCAAAGGACAAGAAAGTAGGTCACATCATCAAAATCTAGTTCAGCTGATATCAAAGTTCAATTTTACATCTAAAACTGTACACGTGGTCCAAATTTCATAGCTGTACATCAAAGGACAAGAAAGTAGGTCACATCATCAAAATCTAGGTCACCTGATATCAAAGTTCATTTTTACAACTAAAACTGTGCACATGGTCAAAATTTCATTAATGAAAGGACAAGAAAGTAGATCACTGTCCCCTTGGGCAAGGCAAAATTTTGAACCAAGGGTTTAATTCAAAACAATCTTGATACAGGTCCACCAAACAACATTTCATGTCAAATATCTAAGCTGTAGCTTTCTCCAATTCAGAAAACATTTGTTTTAGTTTCTGATTTTACTATGTGTACATAATGAGAATCAATGCCCCTGGGCAGGGCCAATTTTGACAACCGGTGAAAAATTTGAACAATTTTGGTAGAGGACCTATAGATGATATTATATAGCAAACATCAAAGCTCTATGCCTTGTACATTTAGACAAAAAGATTTTGTGATTTTTTTACTATATGTCCATAATGAAAATCAATGACCCCCGGGCAGAGCCAATTTTAACTCCAGGGCTATAATTTGAACAATCTTGGTAGAGGTTCACTTCGCAAAGTCTCATGCCAAATATTTAACCTCTAGCCTTTGTCAATTCAATTGGGCAATTTTAACACTACGGGCATTATTAAAACAACTTTAGTGGAGGACCCATAGATGTTATTATATACCAAATATCAAAGCCCTAAGCCTTTTACCTTCAGACAGGAAGGTTTTAAAATTTTTTACTATATGTACATAATGAAAATCAATGACCCCCGGGGGTGGGGCCAATTTTGACCCAAGGGCTATAATTTGTAAAATCTTGCTAGAGGTTCACTACACAATGTTTCATGCAAAATATTTATCCTCTAGCCTTTGTCAATTTAGAGATGATTTGGTAGTTTAGCGTGGAGGAAGGTAGTCTAGTACTGGTGTAACTCTCCAGGAACGTTGGTTAGGAAACTACCTGCCTATATGACTGAAATACTGTTGGGAAGAGGCGTAAAATGAAACAAACAAACAAAACAAACTTGTCAATTTAGAGAAGATGATTTTTTTTAAGTTTTTACTATATACATATAAGGAAAACCTATGACCCCCGGGGTGGGGCTAATTTTGACACTAGAGGCAAAATTTGAACAACTTTGGTAGAGTACCTATAGATGATATCATATAACAAATATAAAAGCTCTAAGCCTTGAACCTTTACACAATAAGATATTTTTATTTTTTACTAGATGTACATATTGAAAATCAATTTTGACCCCAGAACTATAATTTGAACAATCTTAGTAGAGGTTCACTACACAATGTTTTATGCAAAATATCTAACCTCTAGCATTTGTCAATTGCTAGAAGAAAGTTTTTACTATACACATAGCAGGAAAACCTTATATGACATATGACCCCCTGGGCGGGGCTGATTTTGACACTATAGGCAAAATTTGAACAACTTTGGTAGAGTACCTTTAGATAATACCACATACCAAATATCAGACCTCTAAGCCTTGTACCTGCAGACAAGAAGGTATTTTAAGTTTTTACTATATGTACATATAGTGAAAATCAATGACCCATGGGGCGGGGCAGATTTTGACCCCAGGGCTATAATTTGAACAATCTTGGTAGGGGCTACCAGACAATTTCTTATGCAAAATATCTAAGCTCTTGGCCTTTTGGGTCTTTACAAGAAGATTTTTTAAAATTTATTCTTATAATTCCTTTTGGTTGCCATGGCAACCAGATTTCTGCATGGAATGAAATTCTTTGAACAACTTTGAAAGCCCTTTACCAAAGAAATCAATCCTGCCAAGTTTGGTTGAAATTCGACTAGTGGTTTTTCACAAGGAGATTTTTTAAGTTCACTATATAATCTATAGAACACACGTAAAACACACACACAAACACACACACACACAGGTGAATCGCATATGCCACCCCATCATAGATGCTACGGGTGGACATAAAAAGCAGCAGGCAGTAGGCAACATATTCTAGGGGTGATTAAACCATATTCCAGTAAGGAATACTGGAATCACACAACTAGAAAATAGCCAAATAGAAAGAACTTAAATACCACAAGCACAACAATAATGTCACGCTGAACAATCTGTATAACATCCCTGATTTAATGTACTGGGCAACTTTTTACAGCCTCCAGGCTGTGATGTGGCAATAAAATAGAGAGTAATAAAAAATCCTTAAAGAAACGACAACATTGAAAATGTTGCATGCTCCGTTTGATTGAACCTGTTCATGAACGGTAATGGAAAGTGCAAGTTACCGTTCGTCCACACCCCCTAGCACCGTTAGGACCTATGATCCCCTGGGTGGGGCCTATTTTGACACTATGGGCAAAATTTCAACATTTTTGGAAGTGAACCTATAGATGATATTATACACCAAATATCAAAGCTCTAAGCCTTGTACCTTCAGACAAGAAGTTTTTTAAAGTTTTTACTATACG